CTTCGTGAGTGGTACACTGCGCGTCAGCGCGGTGGGGGTTTTGGTCCCTGTGCTTACGTCGTCCGCACCGGCGACCGCGCTGGTGAGCAGTGCGGGGGCCCGCACTCCACCTAGCGCTGCTTCGGTCTCCTAACGTACGCGTGGCGTTGCCAATTCCCTGAGGCGTCAGAGATCCCTCGCTGGGGAGATCTGACTAAGGCCGGGGTTGCTATTTTTGATCTAGACTTTGATGCTATTCTTGCTGCCATGTATGCCGTTGATACTAGTATTGAGGGTGCCTGTTACCTGTGTGTACCGCCTAACCCGGGCATTGAGGCCGCTGCTCTAGGTGCTGGTGAGGCTGCTGCTCTAGGTGCTAGTGCGTCTGCTACCCCAGGTGCCAGTGCATCTGCTGCCCCAGGTGCTGGTGAGTCTGCTCTCTCAGGTACTACGTTGGCTCAGGCCTTCCACACCTTCACCCTGGACTCGGGTGCGTCCCGCTCCTTCTTTCGAGACCGCACCACTCTTACGCCGCTCAGTCAGCCAGTTGCAGTCTCCCTTGCAGACCCCTCTGGGAGTCCTGTCCTTGCTAGCTTCTCCACTGTCCTACCGTGCCCGGCAGCCCCCTCTGGCACCCTATCTGGTCTCTACCTCCCCTCGTTCTCTACGAACTTGGTGAGTGGAGCGGACCTACAGGATAGGGGGGTTGACCAATTCACTCCTGCGAGTCAGCGAGTGACCCACTGCACGTGTGCTCGGACAGGCCGACACTTGGCCACGTTCACCCGTCGGCCAGGGTCGAGCCTGTACACCCTTACTACTGAGTCTCCTCCTGCTGCTGAGTCTGCCTAGGTAGCTACGTCAAGTCAGGTGTTTACTGCGGCGTCCAGGTCTGGTCCTGAGTCTGCTCCCTGCTCGTGTCATTTGCTGTCCCACCAGACTCTCCTTTGGCACCACCGCCTTGGTCACCCCTCCTTGCCTCGTCTTCGAGGCATGGCCTCCCGTATCCTTGTCTCTAGTCTCCCTCGGTCTCTCCCTCCCCTTCCTCCGGGGCCTGGCCCTACCTACGTCCCCTACGTCGAGGGGCGACAGCGCGCGGCCCCTCACTCCTCCGAGTCTCCTCCGACATAGGCTCCGCTGCAGACTCTCCACATGGACGTGTGGGGCCCAGCCCGCGTCAGTGGGCAGGGACGCGAGCGGTACTTCCTGCTGGTGGTTGAGGACTACTAGCGTTACACCACAGTCTTCCCCTTGCGCAACAAGGGCGATGTCACTGAGGTGTTGATCGACTCGATACGCGCAGCTCGTCTCCAGCTCAGAGAGAGTTCCGGCTCGGACTTTCCTGTTCTGCGTCTGCACTCGGACAGAGGCGGAGAGTTTTCCTATCCCCGTCTGGGAGCCTTCTGTCGTGCACAGGGCATCCGCTCGACCTTCACGCTTCCGGCCTCTCCACAGCAAAATGGGATTGCTAAGCGCCACATTGGCATGGTCATGGACGTCGCTCGGACGTCCATGATGTATGCGGCTGCCCCCCATTTTTTGAGGTCGTTTGCGGTTCAGTACGCGGCGCATCAGCTCAACCTTCAGCCCTTGGTCTCCTTGCTAGAGACCTCCCCCGCCTTGCGGTGGACCGGGAAGGTTGGCGATGTGTCTGCGTTTCGGGTCTGGGGATCTCGGGCGTTTGTCCGCGACTTCTCTGCGGACAAGCTGTCCCCCCGTGTTGTTCCCTGTGTCTTCCTTAGCTTCCCCCCTGACGCGCCTGGGTGGTAGTTTTACCACCCCACCTCGCGCCGTGCTCTGTCCTCCTAGGACGTCAACTTTTGACGAGTCGGTGCCTTACTACCGTCTCTTCCCCTACCGCACTGCGCCCCTCCCCCCGCTGCCGCTCTTCCTTGGGCCAGGTCCTCCCTAGGTAGACCCCCTCCCCCCTGAGGGTCCTGCCCCGTCAGATGTGTCCCAGATAGACTCAGTCGAGCCTGTCGAGGTAGCTATTGACTCTGGTGCTGCTAGAGGTGCTGAGCTTGCGAGTGCCGGGTCTGGGGGTGCTGAGTCTGGGGGTGCTGAGACTGGGGGTGCTGAGCCTGGGGGTGCTGAGTGTGGGGGTGCTGAGCCTGGGGGTGCGGAGCCTGGGGGTGCTGGGTCTGCTCCTGTGGCCGCCGGCGGTGCTTCGTCGAGGCGGGAGCCGCTCTCTCCACAGGAGCTGCGCGAGTGGTTTGCCCGCCACTGGAGACATGCTGCTGAGACTGGGGGTGCTACTGTAGCTACTGGAGTTGGTCCTGCTGCAGCTGCTGGCGGTGCTGGTGCTGCTGGAGGTGGAGCTGCTGGGGATGTTCACGCTGGTGCTGGTAAGTCAAAGGGTGCTGGTGAGGCTGCTTGTGCTGACGATCCTACTGGAGTTGGTGCTGCTGGAGCTGGAGCTGCTAGGGGTGTTGGCGCTGGCGGTGCTGCTGGCGCTGGTGCTTCTGAGGGTACTAGAGTTGGCGCTATTGGAGCAGGAGGTGCTGCTGGCGCTGGTGCTGTCACTGGGGGTACTGGTGCCGTCCTTGCTGGTTCTGGAGGCGCTGAGCGGCCGAGGCCGTATTTCGTTCCGCTCCTGGAGCACGTTCTTCGTCTCCCGCCCTCTCCTGGTCGTGCTCCTCCCATAGAGTGTCCACAGCCTGTCCAGTCGCAGTCACAGTTATAGCCCGCCTCCCCGCTACCTGCTCCTTCTCCCTACACTGGTCCTACTGGAGGTCTTACTGAGCGTCATGAGCCTGCGTCTTGTCCTGCGTCGCCAGTTCGTGCTGCTCGCACTAGTCATCGTGTTGCGCGTCCGCCTCCTCGTGCGGTCCGCGGCACACACCAGATGGCACTGCGTCCTTCCACTGCTCCTCGGCGTGTCCCGTTGTCGTCTCCTCCAGAGCCCTCTCTTCCTTCTCTTGCTGACCTGGAGTCTGACTCCCTTTGTGCTGCTAGTCCTTCGGTCACGCGCCTTCTTGCTACTGTTGTCACTGACCCTTCCTTTGAGTCCACTGCTGTGTCTGCTCTAGTTGCTGAGCTCGTCGACTTCGCTGCTCGCTGTCGTCTAGACTACACTGCCAGTCTCGTTGCCGAGTCTGAGTCTGTCTGTCCTCCGTCCGTCAGGGGTGATTGTGCTCTTAGCACGGACGTCCTTGAGGACAGGCTGGAGGAGTTCCAGCGCTTTGCGGCTGCTTTGCCCCATCTCTTGTCCACCCTGATTGCCCCTGAGGGAGACCCGGATGCACCTGACATCCCGACTCCTCGATCGTACGCTGAGGCGATCGAGGGTCCCTACTCCTCTCAGTGGCATTCAGCCATGGACGCAAAGATGGCTTCCTGAAAGTCCACAGGCACCTACGTCGACGAGGTTCCCCCACCTGGGGCGAACATCGTCAGTGGCATGTGGATTTTCAGGGTGAAGCGACCGTCGGGTTCTCCGCCTGTCTTCAAGGCGCGTTACATGGCTCGAGGCTTCAGTCAGTGGCAGGGAGTTGACTACTTCCAAACCTTCTCTCCCACCCCAAAGATGACCACTCTTCGGGTGCTGCTGCACATAGCCGCTCAGCGCGACTACGAGCTTCACTCTCTTGACTTTAGCACAGCTTTCCTGCAGGGCAGCCTGCACGAGGAGATCTGGCTGCGCCCCCCTTCTGGCTTCACTGGGTCGTTTCCTCCTGGTACCCAGTGGAGCCTCCGGCTGCCAGTCTACGGTCTCCGCCAGGCACCCCGTGAGTGGCACGACACACTGAGGACTACACTTGCGGCTCTTGGGTTTGCTCCTTCTACAGCCGACCCGTCGTTGTTTCTGCGCACCGACACCTCTCTGCCGCCGTTCGACATCCTCTTGTACGTCGACGACTTGGTCTTTGGCACAGCTGACACTGCTGGACTCGCCCACATGAAGTCCGAGCTGCAGAAGAGACACACGTGCACAGACATGGGTGAACTGCGCATCTACCTTGGCTTGCAGATCAACCGGGACAGAGCAGAGCGCACCATTACCCTGACTCAGTCACACATGGTGCAGCAGGTCCTTCAGCGCTTCGGCTTCACGTACTCCTCGCCTCAGGCCACTCCTCTGTCTACTCGCCACTCGCTCTCAGCTCTGCCTTCGGATGAGTCCGTAGAGTCGAGTGGCCCGTACCCAGAGCTTGTTGGCTGCCTCATGTACCTGATGACCTGCACACGACCTGACCTTGCATACCCTCTTAGCATCTTTGCACCCTATGTGGCTCCTGGGAGACACAGACGAGAGCACCTGGCTACAGCAAAGAGGGTGTTGCGCTACGTGTGCAGTACGTCGGGCATGGGGCTAGTGTTTGGAGGGCGACGTCGAGTGGTCCTGACAGGTCACGGTGACGCTTCTTGGGTTGACGACCAGGCTCTGCAGCGGTCGTCACAGGGTTACACCTTCAGCCTTTGCTCCTGCTCTGTTTCGTGGCAGTCTACCCGCTCGTCTTCTGTTCTCACCTCCAGCTGTGAGGCTGAGATCTACGCAGGGGCCATGGCTTTACAGGAGCTTCGCTGGCTCACCTAGTTGCTGACTGACCTAGGAGAGTCGCCTCGTTCTCCTCCAGATCTGTACGTAGACAACAAGGCCATGCTGGCCTTGTGTCGGGAGCACAGACTGGAGCACAGAACGAAGCACATTGCTCTCCGCTACTTCCTTGCTCGTGAGCTGCAGCAGCGTGGCCAGCTCGGCCTCACCTACGTGGCCTCTGAGGCCAACACTACTGATGTCTTCACCAAGGCCCTTTCGCCTTGTGATCATCAGCACTTTTGTACTTTGCTAGGTCTTGTGTGTACTTGGCCTCACTTGTTCACTTCTTGATCTTGTTTATACTGTCCTCTTTCTATACCTGCACTTGCTTGTTTACCTTTATATATATGATCTTGCATGTGAACTGTCCTTCTGGCCTTACTCTTGTGCTCGGACTGTGTGGTGACTTTGTGATCCACCCTGAGCTTGCTTTGCTTTGCTTGACTGGTCTTGTGACCACTTGTTCTCCCCCACTTTGCCTATGGGGGTGTGTCAGAACATTATAGCTTATACATTTGTGTAGGCTGTAGTGTGGTAGCCCACAAGGGGTACAACCCAATTAGGGTTAGTACTTGTACCCAACTCTTTCATAGTTCAATCATTCTCTCGTTTCTCGTCAGAAGGCAATTCGGTGGCAACCGAAAAGGCCACAATTCGGTGCATGCAACCTAGCTCGGTGCTATAACTATAATAAAATATAGGAAAGCACCTAGCCTAGGAAATCAAGCAATTCATGCATGCATATGATTATCCTATGCTAGAAATAGCATGATAAAGTGAAGGCAAGCAAGCATAGCTGGCATAAGCCATTGTACTCTCACAGCGGAGGCGGCGACGAGGCCGCGGAGGGGAGCGGCGCGGGCGGTGGCAAGCCCGCGCGGGCATGGAGGCGGCGATGAGGCCGCGGAGGGGAGCGGCGTGGGCGGCGGCGGCTGTCGAAGCGGCGACGATGCAGGCGCGGAGGTGGCGACGAGGCTGCGGAGGGGAGCGGCGCGGGCGGAGGAGAGGCACGGAGGCAGCGAAGAAGAGGAAAGAGGAAGAGAGGAAGAGAGGAAAGAGGAAGAGAGGAGTGAGGAAGAGAGGAGTGAGGAAGAGAGGAGTGAGGAAGAGAGGAAAGAGGAAGAGAGGAAAGAGGAAGAGAGGAAAGAGGAAGAGAGGAAAGAGGAAGAGAGGAAAGAGCAAGAGAGGAAAGAGGAAGAGAGGAAAGAGGAAGAGAGGAAAGAGCAAGAGAGGAAAGAGGAAGAGAGGAAAGAGGAAGAGAGGAAAGAGGAAGCGAGGAAAGAGGAAGAGAGGAGTGAGGAAGAGAGGAGTGAGGAAGAGAGGAAAGAGGAAGAGAGGAAAGAGGAAGAGAGGAAAGAGGAAGAGAGGAAAGAGGAAGAGAGGAAAGAGGAAGAGAGGAAAGAGGAAGAGAGGAAAGAGGAAGAGAGGAAAGAGGAAGAGAGGAAAGAGGAAGAGAGGAAAGAGGAAGAGAGGAAAGAGGAAGAGAGGAAAGAGGAAGAGAGGAAAGAGGAAGCAAGGAAAGAGGAAGAGATGAAAGAGGAAGAGAGGAAAGAGGAAGAGAGGAAAGAGGGAGAGAGGAAAGAGGAAGAGAGGAAAGAGCTGCAAGACACGAAATTTGGAGATGACGGGGGTTTAATTAAAATGCACAGAGCACCTATTTGTGCGCTTGCAACTCCTGTTGCCTCGTCCACTCACCCTGCCTCATCAACCGTATCTCCTGGATCCACCACATCTGCGGCCCCTGGTGTCTCTACATTCTCTGCTGCCTCTGCCTCCGCCTCTGGTGTCTCTACTGCCATCTCACCCCGGGTGGTCATCTGTCGCCGCCCGCTGCTCCCTCACCATCTGCACCATGCCGTTCATGTGAGCCTATGCTGCCATTTGGTGCGCTAAAATGAAATCATGAAACTGCTCTCGTGACTTTGCAACTCAACTTCGGAGAATTCTCAAAAGCAAATCATGAAACTGGTCTCTTGCCTTCTCAACTCGGCTTCCTTGACTTCATGGTGACGATTCTCTTGCCCTCACTCACAACCACCTACCTCAACTCCCTTCCGTCCGACTTCTTTTGAGTCATCTCCGGGTCTGGCCTTGGTTTCTGTTCTCGCGCTCACACTCTCACTCACCCCTCACCCACGCACCTCTCCTCCTCTCCTCCCAGCTGTCTGCGTTCGGTCGCAACCACTTCGCAGGGGGAAAGTCAAGTCCAGATGACCCGGAGCAAGGTGGACGTGAAGAGTCTGATATTGGGGCGCCTCAAGGAAAGCCTGTTCTTGAGTCAACTCAAAAAGAGGCTGGGCCAGCTGACACGGAGCAAGGTGGACGTGAAGAGTCTGCTATTGAGGCGCCCCAAGGAAAAGAACGAGGAGTGCATGGAGATTAGGAGGCAAAGGAGAAGGGCACAGAGGTGCTGGGAACGAGCCTGGGTGCGGGTTGTAGCAGGTGCACAGGGCGCACAGTACCAGGTGATGATTCCAGCAGTGGAGGCAACAGCGCCAGCAGTAGAAGGGGAGATATGGCAGTTGAAGACACTGGGACGCTTGAAACAGCACCAGCAGCAGAATTAGCAGCAGCAGCAGCAGCAGCAGCAGCAGAATCATCAACAACAGCAGCAGCAGTGACGAGACTGGGTGTGATCACAGCTATGCGCTCTCTATCTGCCAGTGCTGCCTCACTTGCCACTGCCACCCAGTCAGCCCGAGAGCTGCAGCGGCGCGGTGGGTCACTGCCAAGCAAGGGAGGAACCGCGGTGCTGCAGGGGGTGGGTGTGCAGGCAGGCACGGGGTTGAATGCGGTGCAGCAGGGTGCGGGGGTGCTAAGGGGGGGTACATGTGCTGGTGGTGGACAATGCGGCAGTGAATCTGCTGGTGGCGCGCCGCACTCTCACTCGCAGTGGCGCCACCGTCGCCACCACTGCCAGCGGGGAGGAGGCGCTGCGGCTAGTCAAGCTCGCTCTGGAGGGCACCGTACACCCCATGGAACCTGCCTTGGGGGGCAGCGCACAGCCTGCGGATGGGCATGTGGATGTGGTGCTCATGGACCTGCAGATGCCCCTCGTGGACGGGTGAGTGGTGGGCGATGGGACAGGTGAGTCAGTTTTGTTGACAGGTGTGAGAGAGAGACAGAGAGAGAGAGAAAGCTGGACAGCAGAGGCAGTGGATTGGGTGTGGTGCTCATGGACCTGCAGATGCCCCTCTTGTTGACGTGAATGCCACTCTCACCACTCTGCCTGCCTGCCATGTGTGCCTAGTGGCATACTTCTCCTCTCCTGAGTCGACTCAAAAGTCACCATGTGTGCCCAGTGGCATACTTCTCCTCTCCTGAGTCGACTCAAAAGTCACCATGTGTGCCTAGTGGCATGCTTCTCCTCTCCTTCAATGCCCTTGCTCTCTCCATCGCTGCTCCCCCCGCTACCTCAATGTAATCCCTTTCAGATTTGCAGCCACAGAGGCCATACAGGCATACGAGCAAGCCCTGCTTCTTCATTCAAATCGACTCAAAATCTCTCTCCACTCCCATCACTCTGCCCGTTCCTCGTTGTAATCCCCCTCAGGTTTGCAACCACGGAGGCCATACGGGCACACGAACAAGCCCTGTTTCTTCACTCAGCATCCCCACCAGAAGCTGCCGCCGGCGCAGCAACAGGAGACACACAACCAGACATGCAAGGTCAAAAGTCCTCACTGTCCCACGGGGAACAATCAGACATGCAAGGCTCCTCATAGTGGCTCTGACAGCAGATGTGGATGATGGGGTCACTCGGCGGTGCCTTGCGAGTGGCTTTGATGGTGTTCTGCAGAAGCCTGTTGACCCGAAGCTGCTCTCGCAGCTGCTGCTGCGGCTCGAACTCGGAGGCTGTGCGCACCAGGCCTAGGCCAGAGTTGTCCATTCCCATCTTCCAGTTGCTGATGCGGAACCTGTGTCATACGCGCTGCAAGGAGCGGTTGGTGTATGTTGTAAATTTGTGTATATTGTAATGCATAATGGTCACAATTGCACAGTCACTGTACAAGCTGTGAAGAGTGTTACGTTTTGTCAAACAGAGTGTGCAGGGTGAACAAATAACAGAGCTGTGATTATATTAACTGCTGACAACAGTGAAGGGCAGGGCAACTGAAAGGGCCTACCACAATGTGACTCCGGTTCACGTGTATGGAGTCTGTTCACTTCACTAAACAGATCGAATGGGCCACATGGTTACGAGCGGGATTTCGTATATCGGATGGGGGTTTGAGGTGGCAGCGCACTCACACGTGGAGGAGTCGGACTTGACAGTTGAGGTCGCGGCCGACGTGGCGTACCTTGGCATCGCGAGGGCGTCAAAGGTTTCGCTGCAATTCGGGCTCGAGGCGCCCTGTAAATCTGCCACTCTACAGACACTACCTTCCACAGATGCTGGTGACTGTCTGTACTCCGTGGAACATTCATATGTGTGGGTCGGATTCTGATTGTGAGATCGTGTCCGTAGTTCTGACACCAGGCGGTCATCCTTGTCGATCACTGTAGTATCAGTGTCAACTCGAAGCGCACTTAGAATCATCAACGACGCAGCTGACTAGTTGGGTCCTCCTAGTGTATTCAACTGATTGGTGCACGTCGCAGCCAGCGAAGTTATCAACTAGCTGTAGGTTTCACGTAGGAAACGGTGTGTCTTGATTGGGCGCTAGGAGAGATGGATTGTTTGTTGCGACGATTCTGGCTGGCTCGTAGGTATTGACTCCGTCAAATTCTGAAGGTGTCCGACTAATTTTACTGGCTACCATTGTGCGAAATTCTGACACTCTGCCAACAATGTTGGTAGTGTCAAAATAGCAAAATGACACTGGCGCCAAATACGAACAAGCCCTGAATGCCGTCTGATTGCTAAAAAGTCTGAGCAACATCGACTGTGGTTAGCCTACCACTCCAACAGACACAACATGAACAGAGGTGTAAACAGCAATGCCTTTCAGATCAAAGAGCAGCGGCCCTTGCTAGAAGCTCAGTCTATTAGAAGCGCCTTAGAGCAAGCTTTGAGAGCAACGAGTTTCGAGATTTCTTAAAATTACAAGCTTTATGTTAGAGGCGCATCAAAGGAAGCCTTGATTAGACTTGTCAGTCGACTCAAGAGTTTTGAAATGTCTCAAACTAGAAGCTGTATGTAGAGGCACGAAGCCTTGAGAGCAGCGGCCATCCTTCGCTGCGCTCAGCTCGCTTGTTTCTCTGAGCCGCCGGAACCGCTCTACGGAACCGGACAGGGACTGCTGGTACCCACTGTACGCCTAGCATGCATCACCGCTCCGTAAACGCAGCGCTCTCGGAGGCTATCACTTTTTAGTCGACTCAGAAATCGACTTATCACTGAGAAGTAGTACTTATTGAATCTGCCGTGAGGTAACCCATTCTGAGAACAAACTACTCTGGGACTGGGACGATGTGCGGCAATGATAGTTGGGGCAATTCAGAACACTTCTGCGTAGAACTTCAAGAAGACCGCACCGCCTAGTCTAATCACCTATCGTGCAATGATGTGCGGCAAGGATCGCAACACCTCCGCGTTGTGCGGCAAGGATCGCAAAGCCGCCGCATTGTGCGGCAAGGATCACAACGCCGCCGCGTTGTGCGGCCTCATTGTTCACGGAAGGTCCCTTGCTGCTGCCACCACGCCGCGGCCTTCTCCTTCTCAGCTCGCTCGTCGGCCGTCGCGCATCGTCGCTCGTCGTCCGTCGCTCATCGTCGCTCATCGTCGCTCGTCGCGGATCCTCCTTCTCCTGCTCCTTGCCCTCGCTCTCGCAAGCCGCCTTGCTGCCGCGTCTGGTGCGCACCTGATTTGGGAAATTCCCCTGCCCACTCTTCCCTCTCCTCTCTCCCCTCATCCCTCTCCCCTCATCCCTCCCCCTCTCCCTGCCTTGTCTATCGGCCTCCTCTCGTTACTCTTCCTCTCATATTTCGTTATCCTATTTCTCTCCCCTTCTCACGTGATTTCCCTCAGCATTTTGTGCTGTTCCTGCTGCCAATGGCTATTGTCCCATGCAGACGAGAAGGGCTCTCCACCACCGGAAGGTTCACCAGCGGCCACTGTTACCGAGCCGGATTCGAAGCTAGATGCTGGTTTGGATTCCAAGCCTGCCGCCGCGCCTACTGCTGAGCCTGCCTCTGCAAACAATTCATCCGATTGTAAATCAAGTGAGCATGAATGTCTCTGGTGCTAATTTCTTCCATTAGTGTGCTTCCATCCATCCATCTATCCATCCATCCATCCATCCATCCATCCATCAAGCTCTTCACTGCACACTCTGCTTCCTCCCCCGTTCTTCCCTCCCTCGTGCTTCATCTCACATTCACGTGGGGGCACTGATCCATGTCAGTCACTCAGCCCGTCCCCGCTAACAGCCACTCACCTGCCATAACACCCGCTTCACCCAAACCCAGCATTTACTACCTACCAAACCCCCTACCAGACCCATCTGCCAATCTCAAATCCATCGCCTCCCTTTCCCGTTCGCCCTTCTTCAGGCCATCCTCACCACTTCCCTGTTCGCCCTTTTCCACGCCTTCCCTTTTCATACACAACCATCACCTCGCTTTCCCGTTCAGCCCCGGCAGTGCTTTCTGCTAAAGCCACGGTTTCAACAATGCCTGACGCCTCATTCCTTCCGCTCCTTTTGCTTTTGAGGCGCCTCTAGAGTTTTGCTAAAGCCAGGATTCAGCAATGCCACACACCTCCTTCCTTCCTTCCTTCTGCTCCTTCCGCCCTTCCCCCCTTTCCCTGCCCTTTTCACCAGACATCCCCCCTTCCATGAATCTTCTCATGTGATAAATTCTTCTCAAGCAATCTTCTAAGCAATGCCTGTGACCTCCCTCCTCCTTACCTCTCTCCTTCTGCCCCTTTCCGCCTCTTCTACCCTTCCCTGTGTCCGTTTACCCCCTTTCCCAGTCGACATCCCCTGCCCCTGTGTCCGCCCGTGCTCGTGCACAATCTCTTGCTTTCTTGGTTAAGTCATGTTCAAAGCATTGTGTTTTACCTCCCTCCTTCAAACCATTCTCTCCCTCCCCCCCCCCCCCCCCCCCTTGCTCCCTTCCGCCCCTTTACCCAGACTACACCCCCTCCCCCCCCATGGGTCTCTCCCTGCAATAACGTTCACTGAACCAATGTATGTACCCTTCCCCTTCCACCCCCCTGCTCCCTGCCGCCCCTTCCTCACTCAGACGACACCCCCCGCCCATGGGTCTGCCCCTGCAATTCCTCCTTCAACCCCTCGCCCACCCCACCACCTGACAAATCCATCCCTGCCGCTATAGACCTCTTCTATACGGGCGAGTTCGGTTACGAGCTTATTGCAGTCCTACCGCATGCCTACTGGCATTTCCTCAACGGAACTCTTAGATCCACTAAGACTTGCGGTGTCCCACTCTCTCTCCTCTACTATTTCAGCCCAAACCACTCCTCAGACCCAGACTGTAAACGCTCCAGCGACCGCAACTGGATTACACAGTATGGTTTCACACAGGGGCTTCATCACAGTGACATTCCGCAGTACTGGCATCCACCCCCGTTAGTGTACAGGACGCGTGAGTTGGGCCGGGTGTGGCTTGATGTTCCTGTAGGGGGGGTTCCGCTTGTGATTATAAGCAATAAGTATGAGACTGAATGGCTGGAACCCCCCGTTAATTTTATTGACGTTCCAGCCCTCCTTAACATCACGCGTGAATTTCTCAATAAGGGGTATTACGTGGTCTATAACCGGCCTGAGGATTCGGTCAAGACAGATGTGGAGCAAGCAGACTTGGCTGATTTGGGGGACCACCCAAGGCTGGCTCAGGAGTTAGGTTCGCAGGCTCGGTTCAGAACCATGCAGCAGATTCGTGAGGCTTGGCCGAGCTTAAGTTTCAACGAGGTTCAGTTTCGAATGATGGCCCGAAGCTCCTGTTTTATCAGCGTGCAAGGGGGAACATCCGTGCTGTCTAGCTACTTTGGTGGGAAGAATATTATATTTTTTCGCAAGGGGGGGGAGGGTGCGGGGAGATCGTATGAGAGGTTCTATCACAGACTGTCAGGGGCGAAGATAGAGGTGACTCAGACGTATGAAGTGCTGCAGGAAAGAGTGCAGGATATGATTAGAGAGGAACATTGCCAAGCAGTTTGACTATGATGTGGCATGCCTCTTACATACGGTAGGTAGTACCACCTTATCAAGGCTATGATTTGTCCCCTACATAAGGTACTATAATGGAGCGCACAATAATAGAGCTATTACTATAAGATTTTGGCGAATATTCTCTTTACTCGTCATAGGTCAATAGCACGTCAGCGGTTGCAATGATCACGAAGGAACGCGGACTTTCGAGGTGGATGTGCGGTTTGTCGACGGGGCATGGGCATGGCCAATTGAGATGCCATGCCATGCGATTCCTTCAAATGCCATTCGCGAAAAACGCGAGCATGTACAACGGTAACTCGGAATGTGTCTTGGCTTGGCGGGCTTTGCTCCGCCGCGCTTCTCATCTCCGCCCCACCATGCTTGAAAATGATTCGCTACCGCACCAGAACTTCCCCTCACCTCCCCTCACTTACATCATCTTCATTTCCCCCCCACCTCCTCCGTTCCCATCCGTCCTTCCCCTCCTTCCTCCCCCTCCCCCTCATTTCCCCCTACTGTTCCGTTGCTGTCACTCGTTGGGAAATGCTGCAGCTGCTGCCACACCCAAAATCCGAATCCCAAATTTCAAGCAGACAGATTTTTGGTGAGCAGCATGAAGTAGCCATCGCATTTGCTTCACACCGTTTTTTGCTCCCATCCGAAACCCATCTGCTGTTTGCTGCAGGGATCGTCCAGCTCCTTCTCCCCGCAGAACTCGACTTCCAAACCTACATTTAAAAACTTGCCCGTTTTATGGCGGCCTCCCTGTCAGCCTCAGTTTCTCCCGTCGCATTGTCTCGTTCAGTCTCAGGCGCTGCTGCGCATTCATCCTCATTGCACTCGAGTCCGGCCTCCGCCATGGCCTCCTTGCATCATTCTGGTCAACTCGTCCCTCTGCACTCTTGGCGAAAGACCAATCTCAAGCTCGCCACTTCTACTGTTCGCGCGTGTCAGAATACCAAGTCCGCATTTCCAATCTTCGCTTCCACAGCGGCTGTCCCGTTGACCCCTCCTCCCTCCAATTCGTCGAATCTCGGCTCCACGTTGCAATTCCAGCACGAATCCACCACGCCCATTGTCCATTCCAATGAGCCGGTACCCCCAATGGGGCTCTTTCACCGCGATCCGCAGCATTGGCGGGAGATCATGCTACGGGAGCGGCACCACGAGGACGAGTTGTCCATCGTCTTGGGATTGGATTTTGGCGGGACGGGAATCAAGGGAGCGCCGGTGGACGTGGCGACGGGAACGCTGCTGCTGGAGCGGTACCGAATCCCCACGCCCAATCCCGCCACGCCTCAGGCCGTCGCTGACGTCATCAGGCAGATCAAGGACCACTTCCGAGTGAGTTCACTTGCCGTCAAATGCTAGGTTGGAAGCATTTTTGTTTTTGGCCAGCCCCCTGTCGCGTGGCGTGGTCACTACTTTCGAACATACAGGCCCTATTGTTTTCCCTTGCTCATTCATTCGTGGCGTTTCTTTGACTTAAAACTTCCTTCATTCTTCCCGTCTCCTTCCGAATACCTTGCCAGTGGGATGGACCAATCGGAATTGGCGTTCCGTCTGTCGTCCGACGTGGCATCGTCCGCAGTGCTGCGAACAGTGAGTGCACTCAATAACCAGAATGGGGATAACAGAATGGAAGCATTCTGAACCGATGAATCATCTTAGGGGAAACGTCGTTCTTAACCAGAATAAGGCGAACAGAAATAGAAGAATCCGTGAACAAATGCTTTGTATAAGACCATGGATTCAGCTTTTTCCTCATCCGCACTTGTTTCCCCATTCCAACCCCACAACCTCCGGACCAACGTTCGCTCCCCGCCCTGCCTCCTCAGTCGACAAGTCCTGGATCAACATCAACGCCGTCGATCTCGTCCAACGCGCCACGGGCTGCCAGGTGGCAGCAATCAACGACGCAGATGCAGCAGGATTCGCCGAGATGAGGTTTGGCGCCGGCCGACCCTTGCAGCGGGAAGGCACGGTCCTGATGACCACGTTCGGCACGGGGATAGGCACGGCACTGTTCGTGGGCGGGCATCTGGTGCCGAACCTAGAGATGGGGCACATAGAAGTGAACGGGGAAATTGCCGAGAAGGTGGCCTCAGGAGCAGTGAAGGAGAAGTTGGAGATGAGCTGGAAGAAGTGGGCTGGGCGGGTGAACGAGTACCTGGCTCGCATGGAGCATTACCTCCAGCCGGATCTAATTGTGAGTACTAAGTGCTGTATCGTGTACAGGGTGTACAAAATGGGCGTACTGTTAGTGGTGCGGAGAAGTTGGAGATGAGCTGGAAGAAGTGGGCTGGGCGGGGTAGACACTGTCTCAGTGTTAAGGGGACAACGAATATTAGCTGGTGGGGGTGGGGGATGAGTAGCTGTTGCGCGCGGAGCATTACCTTTAGCCGCAATGACTCTAGACTGCAGTGCAGGCCACTGCAACAGGTACAGGTGCAGGTTATCGATAAGAATTTGGCGCCCAAGGAGCATACCTCCAGCTCTTATAGTGAGTATAGGCCTACTGCATGGACCTTATAGTGAGTATAGGCCTACTGCATGGACCTTATAGTGAGTATAGGCCTACTGCATGGACCTTATAGTGAGTATAGGCCTACTGCACGGACCTTATAGTGAGTATAGGCCTACTGCATGGACCTTATAGTGAGTATAGGCCTACTGCACGGACCTTATAGTGAGTATAGGCCTACTGCATGGACCTTATAGTGAGTATAGGCCTACTGCACGGACCTTATAGTGAGTATAGGCCTACTGCACGGACCTTATAGTGAGTATAGGCCTACTGCACGGACCTTATAGTGAGTAGAGGCGCACTGCATTGTAGCCTTTCCTCCAGCGTTCGTTCGTGGTTGCGTCTCGATGTTTTCAAGCTGACAATATCTATGTGCTGTGTGGTGCTATGTGGTGCTGTGCCGTTGCTTGCAGGTGATTGGTGGAGGCATCAGCAAGAAAGATGAGAAGGTGAGATGAGGGTCGAGTACGCTAAGCAGAAAGCACGCATCCAACGCCAGTTGTGCTCTCCCACATTTGCCTCGTGTCCTAATTCTATCTGCAGTGACTCCCCCGGAGTGCACCCGCTCATTGCTGGACTGGAGCTGATGAGTTGATTCGAATCCTCTTACCCATTAGATCCCCTTTTCCTCTTGGCACGCCCATAGTGGCAGCAGAGATTACTCCCGTCTGCTTATTGACGTTTCGCACACCCTCCATCCCTTTCCACCCCTTTCCACTCCCCCCACCCCGCAGTTCCTACATCTGCTGTCAGTGCCTGGGGGAACGCCCATAGTGGCGGCGGAGATGCGCAACGAGGCGGGCATTGTGGGGGCGGCTGTGGGTGGCTCCATCCTGCTGGGGGAGCAGCGCGCTGCCAGGGAAGCTGCCAGGATTACACCCACTCTTCTCAGCTGATCCGAGTTTGAGTGGACGGACAATATACAGACAGATGGTTCTTAGGCGCCTCAAGAATTGGTTGTGGGCGGCTCCATTCTGCTGGGGGAGCAGCACGGCGCCAGGGAAGCTGCCCTGGCTCACACCCACTCAGGGTCAGCTGACTGGACTCTGGATGGCAACTATACAGGGTGACAAGGTGTTGGTGCTTCTGTGCGATAAGCAGCCTCAGTTTTGCGGGGGTTGAAGGATACTAAGCTGCCTAGTCGCTGGTGCATATTACTAGGAATGTAGACGCGGCGCTATGAAGAAAGGACATGCATCCATTGCCAGTTCCGATGGGGTTTTCACGCACCAGTTAGCATGTGCATTAGCTCATAGACTAGGCTTGTGCCGTTAATGCTCAGACCTGAGTCTCACCTCTTGCCCTGACCTGTGGCCGGGGGGCCTTGGCATAAGCCAAACCCTCATGGGAACAAAGAATCATTCACTTTTCAAGTGTCAACCCATATTTTCTGGGTTGATTAGTTTTCAAGGCAACTTGCACTTCTGACGTCAATGGGGCAATCCTACTCCAGCTGCTATCCTAATGGAGAGGCATGTGATCCAACCACGGCACCGCCATCACCATCCGGTGCCGTCCCTGGTTCTTGGCACCACGCGCACCGGCACGCCGTCAAACCCAAAGTCAGCTGCGAGCCTGGTGTTAAAGAAACGCGCGAGGGACCGGTCCCCCCTGCAGCAGCAGGAAAAGCAGCAGGACTAACCCCACTGTCTCCCACACAGCCACCACCATCCATCCATCACCATCTGGTGCCCTCCTTTGTTCGCAGCACCACACGCACTGGCACGCCATCAAACCCAAAGTCAGCTGCAATTCTGGTGGAAAAGAAGCGGGCGAGAGAGCGGTCCCCTGCAGCAGCAGCGGTGACACGGACCACAAAAGTGGGCGGCCGTGACTTCACCTGCACGATGCTCTTGACAGAAGCTGCAGTGCATGATCCAGGAAGCTTCCTGAGAGTCTGGATATGGCAGGCGAGATAGGGTGGGAACAAGTAGAGGGCGAGGAAGAGGAGTAAGTGAAGCATGTATGCGGTTACTGCACCAACGCAACAATAAACTTGGGAGTGGGAGATGCTCGCACGAGTCAACTCAAGCTTCACTTCATGCATACCTGTGACCGAGTCGATCCAATCCAAACAGGTCTCAAGCTCTGTGGCAGCATGCTGTTCCACCAGTTTTGAGGCGCCTCAAAAGCTCTGTGGCAGCATGCTGTTCCACCAGTTTTGAGGCGCTTCAAAAGCTCTGTGGCAGCATGGTGTTCCACCGGTCGTACGCATCTGAAGCAGCCAACATGCTTCAGCTCCTTGCCTCCCTTCCCTTGGCACCTCGACATCAGCCCCCACTCTCACCTGTGGCAGCCAGTGTTTCAACCGCGCTGCAGGCAGCATGGTGTTCCACCTGTCGTACGCATCTGATACCGCTTGCATCAGCTCCTTGCCTCCCTCCCCGTGCAGCGCTGAGGTGAACACTATGGGCACGTTGTGCACCTGACAGAGGGGGGTAGGGGAAGAGCAGCAGGAACATGCTCAATTAGTCCACCTGAGTCAGTCTAACACGGGTTGTCACGTCTGACACGGTCTGACACGATTTGACACGGTCTAAAACAATTTGACACGGTCTGACACAATTTGACACAGTCTGAAACGGAAAAAATGCAGCAGCAATACGTCAACTGAGGTGCCCTCGCAGCAATTCAACAACAACCCTCACCACCCACCTGCGGCAGCAGGGCAGCGATCTCCAAAGGCACGGCCCGCCTGACCTTCTTGCGCACCCACCGCTTGTCCCTGTCCCCCCCCACCGCGTCCATCTTATTGGCCGCCACCACCAGTGCGCGCCCCTCCTCCCACACCCACCGCGCCAGCGCCCTCTCTGCTGTCTTGAGAGACTTTTCCTCCTCTGCCACCTGGCAACACATGATTGGGCGGAAATACATGCACATACGTAAAGAGACCGAGCGGTTTCACAAAACGAGAGGCTGTTGTTTTTAGTGAACTTGGGCGGAAACTGGTGGCCGGAGTGGAGTTGGAGGAGGGGGAGGGAACACCGCCCTCGTACGAGAATTCATGCACCTGGCCCACCACCAGCACCACCACATGCGCACGCGCAATGCTTCTCTCCATGTCCATGCGAGCCAGCGGCACCACAGCACCACCAGCCCTTGTACGGCGCCTCAAAAATCAACGTGAACATCAACTCAACTCACCACACCGGCATCCAGCACCAGCACCACCATGTGCGCGCGTCCAATGCTCCTCTCCATGTCCATGCGCGCCAGTGACACCACAGCACCACTGGCACATTCTAAGGCACCTTAAACATCAACATCAACTCAACTCACCACAGCAGCATCCAGCACGAGCACCACCACATGTGCGCGTGCAATGCTCCTCGCCATGTCCATGCGCGCCAGTGACACCGGCCCCCTCTGCCTCGCCTGCGCTGCCTTCACCCACCCCGCCGTGTCCACCTGCCGTGGGGTTCAGAGCGGTTCAGAGGGGTTCAGAAAGAAGTCGTGACACGGGCCCTTGTAGTGAGTCCCAGCTCCATTCCCTGGCAACATCCACCCTTGTCATGCCCCCCACCCCACCACCCTCCAATCTCACCAGCCACAAGGGCTTGCCCTGGTACGTGATGCCAATCAGCACGGCATCTCTGTCCCAGTTCCCGTGTGCACACGCTGTGCCCTCCCCTCACCCCCCAGCACCACGCCCTGCCCCCCCCCCCCCCCTCCCCCTCCCCTTCCTTCTCTCACCAGCCACATGGGCTTGCCCTGGTACGTGATGCCAATGCGCACAGCGTCCCTAGTGAGCCCCGATTCTGGATAAGGATTCTCAAAAACACACCCCACAGCATCCCTCGTGAGCCCCGATTCCAACCCCATCAACACGCGCTGAGCGCCCAGCACCCCCACCCCCCCTTGTCATCCCTCTCCCCTCTCCCCCAACCGACTCTCACCAGCCACATGGGCTTGCCCTGGTACGTGATGCCAATGCGCACAGCATCTCTGGTCAGCCCTGCTCCGGCCCTGTGAGCACCACTTGTGCCCTCCTCCTCACCCTTCCCTTTCCCCGCCCCTCCCCCAACCCACTCTCACCAGCCACATGGGCTTGCCCTGGTACGTGATGCCAATGCGCACAGCGTCCCTAGTGAGCCCTGGCTCCGGCCCCGTCAGAACGCGCTGAGCCCCCAGCAGCGAGTTGACCAGCGTTGACTTGCCCACGTTCGGCAGCCCTGCTATCGCCAGCTGTAGCGGAATCTCTGAGGTTTCTGCCGCCTCTGCCGCCTCTGCTGCTGCTGCTGCTTCTGCTGCTGAGGATGATAACAACGCTTGTGCTGCTGCTTCGTCGTCGTCGTCCTCCTCCTCCTCCACCACCTCCTCCTCTGCTGCAGGTAAGGTGGTTATATCTAGAGCCACAGCGGCATAAGCAGCATCACCATTTAGCGCTGCATCAGAACACTCACTGCTGTCAGGCAACGCCGCAAAATCGCCGGCCTCCTCTGTACGTTGACTCATCCCTGTGCTGCACAGAACACCGTGTTGCCCCACGGGAGCCGTCGGAAGGAGGGAAAGCATCGCATCACACGGGGTTGCCTGATTCTCTTCTGAAGCTGACTTTTGAGTCGACTCAAAAGTCAAGCATCGCATCACACGAGGTTGCTTGAATCTCTTCTGAAGCTCACCCACTTCAAAAGCAGCAGGCAGGGCCAGTCCAATGATCCGCACACCTCAAGCCTCAAGCCTTGAAAGAGAGCTTCTAGTCCTACAACAGCCTCTCATCTTTGAGAAGGCTCAAAAAACAAGCCTTGAGAGAGGGCTTCTGGTACTACAATAGCCTTTGATCCGATTGATTGCGTGAGAATACAGATTTGAAGCTCTCACACTCTTGCTCATTGGAGCATCCATAGCAGAAAACATGGAAAAAAAAAAGACATTTTCCTCCACCTAAAACAGCCGCATGTGCTCACCTGAAATGGCCATCTTTCTTCCTTCCATATCCTCTCTCCGCTCTCTCAAATCCCTCTGCCTTTCCTCCCTCTCCTCTCTCCCCTCCCTCTCTTTCTCCTCCACCGGTCCCTTCACAGCAGCATAAAGGTCCTCCAGTCCCTCCCCAGACTCGGCCGATATCGGGATCGGGTCGCCGAACCCCAGCGAATAGGCTTCTGCCACGTGGCACGCCAGCAGGCCTGTGCTGTCGCCGCCCAGCCCCTCGCATTTATTCGCCAGCAGCACCACCCGGTGCTTTGGCACAGAGCGACGCAGCCAATCAGCAACCTCCACGTCAGCAGGTTGAATGCCAGCTCTAAGGAAAGGGGTTCCAATGAATGATGGCGGGTGGGAGGGAGGGAGGGAGGAAGGGCGGAGAAGCGTGTGAGTGAAAGAGAAAGAGCAAGATGTGTGAGCGCTGGAGAAGGCGAGCTTGGGGAAGAGGAAAGAGAGCGAATGAATGACGATATAGAACAAAGAGGGGAAGGGGGGGGAGAAGGTAGTGGAGGGGGATGGGGGTGGTGAAGGGGAGGGCGGGTTGGGGGTGGAGGGGAGGGGGAAGTGTGTGGGTACACTGAAAAAAGGGGGAGAGAAGGAAACCTGGACGGAGATTAAGAAAGCAGACGATTGAAGGATCTTGCTGCATGGTATCAGAGCACGGCACAGTACACTGCACAGCACACCCACCTGGCATCCACGAGAAACAGCACAGCCGCTGCCTGCCCCAGCAAGTACGACGTGATTTCAGCCGTTCGTTGCAGAATCGACGCCTCCATAGCCGCACGATCCGCCTCTGGTAAATTCCCCAGAAGGCTCGGAGTAAATCCCACAATCCTTCCCCCACCACCACTCCCTCCCGCCCCACTACCCTCATGGCCCTGGTGGGAGGTAGAGGTCGCGGGTTCGAGTCCTGCTGTGTCAAAAACTCGAAAGCGGAGCCCAAAGAAGGAGCAGACGCCCTCGCGCACGTCTCTGGTCATGTGGCCCTGCGGGGTGTCGCACACCAGGGCCTCCCTGCGCCGCATCAGCCTGCAGAGCTCGTACCAACCAACACAATGAGGAAGAGGGGGAAGGCAGAGGGTGGAAAGGTGGAAAAGGATTTTTAAGCTGTCGCCTACATACTTCCTGCGGGAGGCCTAGGTTTATCACTTGAAAACACGGTAGCACCTAGCTTCGCTCCAACTTTGAGTGGCGAGGTGCAGTTACTGCTTTGTGACAACACAACCTCACCTCTGAAAATTGGGCGAAACAGGATTGGCTTCTAGTTTCCCGCCAATCTCCTCCCCTTCCCGGATTGGTTGCACGTTGTGGCGAAATTGCCAACACAACCCTCTCCTCCCGAAATATCTACCCCCCAACCAAACCTTTCACAAAACTGGCGGGATTCTCCAGTTCTGTTTGAAACATTCGCTCCCTCATTTCTGGAAAATGGTCATTTCGTTCCCCAATCAGCATCCGTCCTAGGGTGTGCACCCGGAATGCCCCCCAAAAATACCTTTTAGTATGTAGAACGCAGCTTTAAAGAAGCATCTGCGGTGGGTGTGCAATCAGGCTGCTTACTTGTTGAACAAAGCTGACTTCCCAACGTTGGGACGCCCTACGATCACAACGATCGGACGGCTGTCAGCCATCGCCACAACCGGTATGCTTGGCTCCTCCGCCTCCACTGCTGCACCCTCGCTATTGTCACCCGCTTCTGCGACCTCGCTATTGTCGCCCTCCTCATCTTCTCCTAATCCAACAGCTGAGGCAGTGACCTCAGGATTTGATTGAGCCACGTCAGCACCCTGCGAGGTCGAGAAAAGCCTCGTCAAGGTGTGTGCTCGCGGGGAGATGAAACCCCCATGACCCCCATAATCCCGTTGACCCCCATAATCCCGCTGACCCCAACGGCCAATAATCGAGTCACTTGCTCTAAACGCGAGGCTACTATGACTACGGCGAGGAGTGAGTGACCGTTGGGTTGACTCAACGGCTACCTGGCGAGGCCATAACGAGGATACGGTTCCCAGGTAATGAGTATGATCGGATGGACGGAAGGATGAACGGTCAGATGGACGGTCGGGTGGACGGTCGGATGGACGGTCGAATGGACGGTCGGATGGACGATGCGGGTAGTAATCGGTACTATTCAGGTGTCCTGTTGATTGCCGCGTCGCTTGCGGGACGGTTCGGAACGACGCGGCGACGGCGAGTGGACTGGTGTGGAACGCGCGCTGAAGATGACCGGATACGACGCACCATGCGCGCCACTGCGCGTGGAAAGGCGACATGGCGGGCCGAATTCAGACGACGGCGTCACGGTGACATGGAACGGTCCATGAAATCCATGGAGGCAAGACTCGATGAGGCAACGAGCATAATGTGACTCTGATGGTGATGGTGGTTGGAAGATGTCTGGTAAGCTCAAGTATGATTTATATTTCCAGACAGAAAGGTCAACTTGATATGTCTAAACGAGAGACATTTTAGCGAATACGGTACTGGGGCGAGAAGTAGCGAGAATACGGTACTGATGCGAATAGCGAGAAATTCCAATGTTGTTGACGCGAAGTCTGACGTGGCCTTTCCATTCACCACAGAATGTGTGATTCTGTGTTTTGGCGGTCGTGTTTCTGGTTCCGCAAAGGGACACACCGCAGATGTTCCAGCTCTTTTCGCCGTAGTAATTTTGTTTTCCCTCGTCAGAGCTATTATGCGGTTCGCTCAGAAATGTAAAGTAACTGCGTAACAAATCCAAATTTTGGAATGAATGGCAAAGCACAATATTGGCCTCGCCGCAAGCTGCCAGATACGCACCAGCACCACGAACTCCAGTTTTCGCACTGTGCCAGAAATCACAGAATTCAGTGCAGGCGATGCAACCTGCTGCTGCTTCTGCTTGGAATCTGTTCTTCGAAATATATCAAGCATTGAAGGTCTGACAATCACCCCTTAGTCCTCCATACCTGTCCTGGCTGGTGACTGGGAAATAGGATAATTTGAACACCCTAGCTATTTATTTAGCAATGGCTGCCGTCGCTCCCAGCTGCTCGCTTTGTGCTTCCACTGTCCCGTCGACCATCGCGGGATCTCTACCCAGACTCCGCTCGAATGCCCGCTTAAACACTCGACAACCGTCCACCATTCTCCCCGCAATTTCCAGCGTTTCCAGTTTCCGATTGTCCGTCGCGCCCTCCACCCGTGGAATTCCCGCACCAGCCTCTCAACACCGTCACAGCCGCCAATCCACTCACTCGCGCGCCGCAGTTATCTCCGCCGCAGCCGCGAGCGACACTCCCGAGGCCGCGTCGCCTGCTTCGTCGCCGTCGAACGCGCCAGTAGAACGAGTACTCGTCGTCGGCGCGTCCGGTGGCGTGGGTCAACTATGCGTCGCGTCGCTCGTAGCTAAGAACCGCTCCGTGCGCGCGCTAGTTAGGAGCGTCGAGAAAGCCGAGTCGCTATTCGCTGACGCGCCCGCGGATTTGATTCAGGTCGTGACCGCAGATCTCCGCAAGCCCGGCACCATCTCCCCCGCGCTCTTCGCCGGGATTTCCGCGGCGATCGTGTGCGTCGGAACGACGGCGTTCCCGTCCAAACGGTGGGACGGCGACAACGGACCGGAGCAAACAGGTACGTTCGCCATTCCTTGATTTTCGGTTACCGGGTGTGTTCTCGGTTATTGTGATGCGGACCATTGGCGATTCCTGCTTTCCCGTCCAAACGGTGGGACGGCGACAACCGGCCGGGGCAAACAGGTACTTTCCATTCCATGATTTTCGGTTATTGTTGCGATCTTGCCGGGTATGTTTTCGATGATAGGAATGTTCGTAACGGTCCATTCGCGAATCTTACTTTCTCGTCCGAACGGTGGGACGGAGACGACAGGCCGGAGAAAACAGGTGACTAAGCACGATTTTTCTGCTCTTACCTGTGCATGCGGTTAATGAGGTATGTTGGAGGGGGCATTGGGGAACACCAGTGGCGACTAGTTGGGGGTCATGGATTCGCACTGCTTTCGTTTCGAGCAATCCCCCCAGCTTGGACTCATGTTGAGAATTCTCAGAATCAAATAACCCTCCAAGGCAAGAATCCTCAATACAATACTCCCCCCCGGCCTTTCCTTTCTTGCCTTCGTCTCATCACCTGGCACTGAATGAACGCTACCCGGCAACATTCATACATAATTATTCTACCCCTTTCCCCCCCCCCACTCCGCCCCCTCCCCTTCCCCAGACTACATCGGAGTGACAAACCTTCTAGCCGCTCTCCCCCAATCCTTCCCTACCTCGTCTTTGTCTCCTCAGCCGGTGTAGAGAGTTACAACCAGCTGCCCTACTCCATCCATTCGCTTCCTCCCACTCTCATTTTCCCCCCACCCCCTCCCTTTCGCCAGATTATGTCGGGGTGAAGAACCTCCTAGCGGCGCTCCCTCGCGACTCTCCTGCATCGTCTTTGTCTCATCAGCCGGCATCGAGCGTTACAACCAGCTGCCCTACTCCATTTATTCAATTCCTCCCATTCCTACTCTTCCCTTCTCCCCAACCTCCCCAACCCCCTCCCCGTCCACCAGACTACATCGGGGTGAAGAACCTCCTAGCGGCTCTTCCTAAAGACCTGTCCCGCATCGTCTTCGTCTCATCAGCGGGCGTGGAGCGCTACAACCAGCTGCCCTACTCCATCCTCAACCTCTTCGGGGTGCTCAAGTACAAGAAAATGGCCGAAGACCTCGTGAAATCCTCGGGCATTCCGTACACTATCCTGCGCCCGGGCAGGCTGACAGACGGGCCCTACACCAGTTACGACCTGAACACACTACTCAAGGCAACAGCCGGGATGAGAAAGGCGGTGGAGGTGAAGAGAGGGAGTGATACTTTGTCAGGGGAGACAAGCCGAGTGGTGCTGGCGGAAGGGTGTGTGCAGGCTTTGGGAGTGAAGGCGGCTGAAAACGAGGTGTTTGAGATGCTGTCTGTGGAAGGAGAGGGACCGGGGGGTGATGAGAGTGCATGGGAGAAGATTTTTGCGTCTGCTCCTGCTGGCAAGTGAAGAAACTTAGAGGTGAGGGGGATGGCAGAGTGGTGCTGGCAGAGGGGTGTGTGCAAGCGCTGGGTGTGAAGGTGGCTTTGAGTTGAGTTTTAAGGCGCCTCAAAACTCAACGCAGAGTGGTGCTGGCAGAGGGGTGTGTGCAGGTGTTGGGAGTGCAGGCGGCTGAAAACGAGGTGTTTGAGATGAAGTCTCTGGAAGGAGAGGGTCCGGGCGGGGATGAGGGCGCATGGGAGAAGTTTTTTGCATCGGCTCCTGTTGACGCAGCCGATGTGGGGTGGCTGAAAATGAGGTGCTAGTTAAGGGGAGGAGCAGGGGAGATACACGTGTATGGGAAGAAATAAAATATGCTAGTGCAGAATTAGGGCGTGTTCCTACAGCCCCTTATCAGGCGACCTCTTGTCAGACTTGTGCGGTTCAATGCGATTCAATGCGATCGAATGTTATTATGCGCGTTTCAGTGCGGTGCGACGCGAATCTGACAAGAGGTTCGCCTGATAAGAGGCCGTAGGATCACGCCCTTACCCTGTTTTAGACTTGCGGTACAAGATAATGAAGAGAAAGACTGGATGGTGGGTAGCATAGAGTGGTGGGAATGGTTTTCTTGGTTGGTTGGTATGGTATACCTCGCTTGCTTTATGTAACAATAGCAGAGCTTATTTAAGGAAGAGCAGCAGCTACGAGTGGGCAGCCTGCTGACAATTAGCATAGCAGCAAGCATGACACATCTAGAAGAGTAGATACGTGCCCGCCGGCTGCTCTGCAAACAAACTGTAAGTTAACAAGCTAGGACCAATCACTAGCAACCTAAAAAGTGATGTCCGTTCATCCTACCTACTGGTCAGCTGGCAGCAGCAACACCTGCCATCACGAAGGTCAGTCAAATGGAGAGACACAACCAGGTGCGGTGCACACTCCATAAAAGAACATCTGAGACCGGACATGCGGCCAGACAAACCAAGATGGTAGATTCCTATGACACCAGCGTAAGTTCCATAAATAAAACAGAGGCCCATGCACAGCACATGCATGGGCACAGGTATGAGCATAGCCACGGGTGTGGACGGGCAGGGCACAGACATGAGCACGAGGCACAGGCACAGGCACAGGCACGGGCACAGGCACGGGCACAGGCACAGACACAGGCACAGGCATGGGCACAGGCAGACACAGGCACAGGCATGGGCACAGGCACAGACACAGGCACAGGCATGGGCACAGGCACAGGCACAGTCACAGGCATGGGCACAGGCACAGACACAGTCACAGGCATGGGCACAGGCACAGACACAGTCACAGGCAACCGTGCGCCACAAATGTCTGTACTGCACTGCTCGTGCAAAACACAAACAAGAAAGGCGGGGGAAGGAGTGGTGGTGAATCCGCCGGCTCCTTCCCCCAAAAACACCTTCGGCTCCACAGGTGTTGGGACAAAGGTGAGGACAAAGAATCAAGCGCATTAACCGCACTGCTGCTGCAGACTCTGCCGCTGCCGCCGTCGCCGCTGCTGCTGCAGCAGCAGTGCCTTCAGGTTCAGCTGAACGCGCTGCTTCTGACGCTTGCAGCACTGAACTGAACACGGTGCTGTGAAACAATGCCATGGCGATGTTGAGCCAGACTCACTCAAGAACCACCTGGCGATGTTGTGAAACGAAGCGACAGCAATGAGGCGGTGCGGTAGCAACGAGGCGACAGCATCGCAGCGCGGCTGCAGCAAAACGTGCTGCTGCCCCTGGCACGACAGATACTGATAGTCGTTGCACTGTGTCGGCAAGAGGCAGTAACCACACGGGGTGATTCGGTGATTGTAACAACCAACCAGCCACAGAAGCTGACCAAAGCTGATGCTCAGTCTGATGTTTAAGCTGGAGCTCGTCCTGATGTTGCACTAAAGAGGTGGAATTGCTGTGAAGATCTGTGCGGCAAGGCCAGTTGGAACTGAACCAGCCATTAGAACCAGGGAAGCTGATGTCTGTCATAAAGGGTAGTAAGGCTGTTTGTGCAGATGATGTCGTGAGAACTAAGGTGTATGTGATGCGAGGGAAAAGGTGCTGCCCAGATCCAAGGAGAGGCAGAGGCAGAGCAGTGGACGGGCGGTGGAAAGGAGGGGAAAAGGTGGAGGAAAGGTGGAAGGAGAAACGAAAGCAGATGTAGGAACGGAGAAAATAGGAGAGGCTATGAGCGGCAATGAGGATTCAGGAGGAGCAAGGAGAAGCGAGGAGAAGGTAGGAAAGGTTGCGGGGATCTAGGAGCGAACAGCAAGCTTGAGGCGCGGCGTGGGGTGCAGGTGCAGCACCATGAACTCGAGCCGCGTGTCAAACTCCTTGGGCATGTCTGGCGACATGGAGAACTGTTGGCGGCGGGGACAGGTGGGGAAAACTGAACGGAATGATTTCTAGTCGCCTCACGAACAGGCGCGGGTGCTCCACCAAAATACGAAGACATGCTTGGAAAAAAAAAAAAAAAAAAAAAAAAAAAAAAAAAAAAAAAAAAAAAAATCACCCACAAAAGAGGTCAAAAGCAGGTGGCAGTGGTGGTGAGCAAGGCAGGGGTGCGGCTGCGGACCTCGAATCGGTGCAGCAGGATGGCGACAGCAGCGCGGATGATCTTCAGCGACAGCCGCTGCCCCACGCACGACCGAGCGCCTGCACCAAACATGAGGAACTGCGGCCCCGGCTCGGGCGCCACAAACTCATAGTCATGCCCGGGTACCATCTTCCCCTCCCTCCACGGACTCGCACCTCTCACACCCGCTGCTTCCCCCGGTTTTCTCCCTCCCTCCTCCTGTTCCCGCCCTGTCCCCTCGCCTGGGAACCTCTGCAGCCCCTCCCGGTGGCCCATAGGGCCTAGCCCCACGCCCACGCGGGTGTCTCGTTTGGCGAAGGAGTGAGAACGGGGCTCGTATTGGTTGTGGTGGTGCAGGTGGTGGTGGTGTTGTTGTTGCTGCTGCTGCTGCTGAGGGCCATGCCAGCGGAAGTGGATGAACCTATCAGGGTTGAATTCTGCTGCGTCGCTGCCCCACAGGGCAGGGTTCAGCTGTAGCTGGTATATGGGCAAGGCTAGGATCGCCCCTGACGGCACCAAGTGGAACGCGCTGCTGCTGCTGCTGCTGCTGCCGCTGTCGCTCCCACCACCACCACCACCACCACCACCACCACCCACCCCATCCCCGTTATTACCTCCCTCAGTGCCGTTACCACCACCCGTTTCCCACCCTTTAGCAGCACCAACACCACCACTGCCAAAGCCACTGGGGGCGGACAGCCGTTGATCCTCCCTGCTGCTGGGAGCAGACAGCCATAGATCCTCGTTCATCGCAGCGCGCGTGAGCATGGGGAAAACCGGCATGCACCGCGCTGCCTCGTATATCACCGCATTCAGATAATCCAAACGCAGCAAATCCTCGTCTTTAGGCGCCTCGTTACCGCACACAGCTCTGATCTCCCGAAACACGCGGTCCTGCACCTCTGGGTGTAGCAAGAGGCATACAAGTACGCGTTTTAAGAGCGCAGGCACGAGCAGGTATCCATGAAACATGAGTGCTGCTGCTTCTGCTTGCGCTACTTCCTGCGTGTAAACGGGTTGTCCTAAAGCGGAGCGCTCTGCTAGCATAGCTGAGAGAAAGCTCTCCCTCAGCAGCTGCGGCTGCTGCTGCTCCTGTTCCTTCTCCTGCTGCTGTGTCTTCTGCTGTTCCTCCTGCTGCTGTTGCTGCTCCCGTTTAGTCTGGCCCTCCGAGCCCTTGGCCTGCCCACCACCACCGCTGCTACCAGCTTCCCCCCCCACCCCTCCTTCCCCTGACCCCTCGCCATGCTCCCCCTTCTGCTGATTCACGTCCTTGGCAAACGTACCCGATACAAGCTGGTGAATCGCGCCTCTATAGTCCTCCGCTACACTCATCAGCTTCCGATAAGCTGGCAGCCACACCGGAAGGTAACCAAAGCTCGAGAAATCCTGCACTGAGTGCGCGAAAAACTCCAAGTCTCTGGCAACGCGGTCCTTCAGGTCCGAGTCGGGGAACGCGGGGCCGAATAAGGAGCCTCCTAGAACGCCCACCACCATGTCTTTGCATGCCTGCGTCACGTCCAGCTCACCGCCAGACGCGGAGAGCGTCCCCCACTCGCGCGCGGTGACGTCAGCCACGCGGCACGCCACCTCGTGCACCTGGAACTTGAGCGTCGTGTGGCAGTGGTAGTCCAGGAACGACCGCCGCGCTCGGGGCTGGAAGCAGGCGGGGAGAGGACGAGGGAAGGAAGAGGGGGGAAGAGAAGGGGTGAAATGGGCGTGAAAAAAATGGTTACTTGTGGATCATCATGGTGCACTTGGAACTTGAGCGTTGTGTGGCAGTGGTAGTCCAGAAACGACCGCCGCGCACGGGGCTGCAGGCAGACTAATTCAGGCGAGGGAGTGAGGAGGCGCATTGAGGACAGGAACCGAGGAGAGGGGAAGTGCGTCCGGAGGGCGGGGCCGCGGCTGCGTATCACAGAGTAGAGCATTGAATAAGTGTCACATAGCTAAACTCCCAAAATTAGAGCAAGCTACTGGAAAAAAGAAGCACAGAAAATAAGAATAAAATAAAACGATACAAATTCACAGGAAAATGAAACAATTTATCCACAGAAAAATAGAACAATACAAAAGAAACGGGTCCTCATAGGTTCGCAGATTTGTTTCGCGGAACTTGCCTGAATGAAGGTGGAGAAGCAAGCCGAGTTCTTCCCGAGACACGCTTCAATCACGCGGCAGTACAGCGGGGACCGCTCGCGTGCGTGCATGAGCACGTTGCGAACCTGCTGCGGATCCTCCACCGATATCAGCAGCCTCACGGGGTTCAGCCAGAGGCGCACGACCGGACCGTACTTGGCGTGCATTGCGGCGAGCACATCTGCAATCCGCGATTCGACAGTCGCGCGAGGCGCGCGCACGCGAGGGAACGAGATGGGGAGGAAGGTGGGGGGAGAACAGAAAGGGGGGAAGACGTCTGATTTTGCTTTTGAGTCGACTCAAAGGCGAGCACATCTGCGAACCGCGATTCAACAGTCGCGCGAGGGGCGCGCACGCGAGAGAGAGGGAGAGAGTGAGGAAGGAGGGAGGGGGGGAGAGGAAGGGAAGGGGAAGACGTTCTGAATTGACGTCAGAATTTGCCCTGTTCGTTGTGTGTAGCGGCGAGAATATCTGCGACCAGCAAATATAGTAAGCTCAAAATGTTTTATTATCTGTACATACAATTTCAGCTCTCTCCGAGCAAAGCACAGAGCACCGGCGGTTCAGGGCTCGCTCCTAGGAAGTCCTTAGTGGAAAC